CCAGAATCGAAATAATTGTAACGTTGGGGCCTTTCACACCGAGAAGCGCATCCGTGGTCGAAAAAGCACGGTTTTGCGGCGGGATTGATGATAAGCAAATCGGTGAGTGATGAGACAGGGTTACCATAATTTTTTTCATCTTTCAATTTCTCGACTTTTCGTGATTTTTTTTTCGCTTTTTCCTGACTCCAAAATTTCGAGTTCGTTGCCTTGAGTTCCCTCAACTTCGATCAGAACTTCGTGTTGGAGCGCACTTGGATTTTTTTCTTGGAGTCGCGCCGACTTTTGCCAAACCATGGACATTATCTCTACAACCAGGGATTCAAATTAAGGGATTAGGCACTCGAAAGTTGTTCTTGCTCTTAAATGTAGGGTGGCCAGCGGTCAGGAAAACCGGGCAAATCAGGGAAAGTCAGGGAATTTCTGACACTTCTACTAGTCACTGAAACATATCACTGATCTTACAGTTACATACCGTTTCAAGTTATTTTGAAGGCTCGTCCTTCTTGAACCAGCCACTGAATGCCTTTTCCATAATTTGATCTCGAAACAAGAAAATGTTATCCAAAGTCAAGCGGGATGTTTTGTTTGGAGGTCACAGAAAGTCAGGGAATTAGAAAATTTTAGAGTCAGGGAAAAGCGGAAATAGTCATGAAAAAGTCAGGGAATTTGAAGATGACAAAATTATGGCAACCCTGTAAATTGAGGTTGCTGAGCCGATACGATATACTCACGTAATGTCTGAACTTTTCATATGAATTCTCTGCCTTTCCCAGACTCTAAAGTTTTCCCACACAGCTCCTTTCATTTTTGAAACGGGCAGCTCAAAAATGCTCCAATTGTTTTCTGTAAATATGAAAGTAGGAGTAAATTTACACACTGGAAAAATAAACACATTGGATCTGGAGTCCAGACTCTTGAAAACATTGACAAGAAAAAATACTCTTGATTCAATCGGATTTTTGCTTGAATCTAAACGAAATCCGCTTAAATTAAGAGGCTTGGTCCTTGATTTAAGCTTAAATCTGATTGAATCAACAGTACTTTTTCATGTCGATGTTTTTAAGAGTCTGGACTCTAGATCCAATGAGTTTTTTTTTTTTTCCAGTGCACTCTAGTGTGGTAATCGTGATTTTTGAGCCAATTTTCAAGGGAAATGCCTAGTATTCTCACTGCAACAAAAGTTTGCACGAGACGTACCGGAAAATGAGAAATCTGACAAGGGCGCTTGACCGTGAGTCGTTGGGTCCAGCGCAGCGTCCACCCTTTTATACATATTTCTCACGCGCAGGCGCTCCTTTCCTCTTCCATCACCGAACGTATCCGTACACTCGTCCAGCATCCACCACATCGTGTGGTTCCTGGTCAAGGAGTTTGGGAACGGCTCCTCTGTTTACAGCTAATTTAGCCTCGAAATAAATTGGGACGCCAAGCCGCCGAAGCCGGATCGGCCTCTTGTACTTCGAATTCTTCGCCGCGTATTGGTGTCGAACCACCTCGTGTGGTATAGCCCGAATCTCATCCCGTTAGTTTGTGGGGCAGCCATGTGAAAAGCCAATATGGATCAATGTTCGTACCTTCAATACACATGAGTTTTCCCGAATTTTAAAATCGTTGAATATTTACCCTTTAACTGAACGCATGTCTGCCAAACGCGATCTAAGTATGTGCATTAAGACATGAGCCCTGAGACCCATGAGAATACATGCATAACATGGCGCACGTCATTATGCATATAGTTCCGTTTGGCAGAAATACGTCCAACTTAAAAATGGGTAGGTTGCACTAGATGCAGAATCGTGTTTTATATTTCTTTCCCTAACAATAACGTATCATGAAAATGAAAAATACCCTTTTTATGTAATTGAAGTAAAATCAGTCAATTTTTAGTCATCCAAAATTTTTCGGTCAGAAGCTTCCGAGCCCGTTTTCTCTAAACTTCATTTTTGCACTTACTGCTCTCTTCGCTATCATGGCAGAATCAGTGATACACGCATTTTCTCTGGTTGTTCGATTTGGAACACGGATCTAGCCAACGCAGAAGAAAACATGGTATGCATTACCGCGGTGGATGACGTCATCTTGTATACGCACCTAACATCCGCCCCCATACCCCCTCATTACAAATTGAGATGATAGACATGAATTCTTGTTTGCTTTGAGAAGTGCCTGCCACAAAGTTTCATGTACATTCATACTGTTCTGTTGAAGGACTAAAAAGCTTCATATTTTTGGCCGTATGGCTCTTTTTGAGAACTGAACCTTGTACCAAGAAAAGTTTCCATTCACCTAACGTTTTAGGCTGAATTCAATTTTTTCCGTTTTTTTATTTTCCTCTCTCTTCTTTCGGAGTTCTTCGCTTTTCAAGACAAGTCTTTCAATTTCACTCACGTATACGCACTTATTTGTACATCCCACGTAACTTGCACCAGATTCCACTCGAAAAAATCAAAATTGAAACCACCACTCCTGGCAAAAACCTCGAATATACATCGTATGGCCCATCGGGGTTACGGGGTTCTCAGTCAAAACGACGGTGCAGACTTTCTCTCCATTTGTGGACGTGTAATTCATCTCTTTTACACCCCGACCGCAGACCAATAATTCTTTCACGCATATTTTAACGAGGAAATCCCAATCAATCAGGGCTTTTGTGAAACTGGTTTGATCAATAGCTTCCTCGCCTTAGTGCCCTAATCGTCGAACCCTAAATCGGCCGCGATGAGCCCCCCGCGGCAGCTGGTGGGCCCCACGAGACACTTTTTCGGATCCGACTGGTGTTCATGAATAATGTTTATCAATATTTTCACTCCTCAAGGTTCACGGCGCGGGAGTTCACAAAGGAGCCGTGATTCATTACGTTTTATCCCCGAAATTTGACATAATTTTGATGTATCAATGTCTCATTGATTTTAGGCTGTGACTAGGAGAGATTCTTCATTGGTATCTCGGCAATGATCGAACCTTTTACTTTCTGGACTCCAACATTCAACTGTTGACTTATTTACTAGCAGGTGGATGTTCAAGAACGTGTTGAGCATCTCGTTCTGCAAATTAACAAGCAGAAGCTTGGTGAACTCTTTTGGCATATTACGTCACCTAAAGCCGTATAGGTGGGAAGTCAACAGCAGACTGCCTCATAATCATTGTCTTTAAGGACATGTTGAATCCCCGAAAGTAAAAGTTGTTACCTCTTGAACTGAAAAATGTCATTTGCATATTGCAACTGTAGCATCTACTTGCTCTTTGTCAGAAATATTTCTCAATTTATTCTGGTCTAGAAGTTGAATTCCAAACTTCCCGTCGTATGAATAGTTTTCAACGTAAAATTTTGAAGAAAAAGTTCGTCAATTTGATTTCTAGTTCAGAATTTGTCTAATTGTCCATTGACAAAACTATAGAAAGCCTGCTTTAAAAGCATTTCCGTTGCAGGATACTTCAAATTCTGTTCTCAAATTAGGCTGCGTTTTGCAATCAGGAACTACAAATTCCGGCTCATGTATGTGCCATATACAGATTTTCCTATGCAGATAGATGCCTTTATGGATGAGCCTGAAACTGTAGCTCCTGATCGCAAAATGCAGTCCAATTGTTGAACAGGTGCAGCAGGCAATTGCACGGTACTGCACGGTGCTTTATTAGTCTTCGGCCATCTGCAGAAAACTTCATCGGTCACGTGTCCAACTTCGCCGTTCGTCTGGCCGAAAATAGGTGTAAAATCGGCTGCTCATCGTTCGGGGCAAGATTAAATCTAAAAAAAAAATAGAATTATGATGATCCCTGATGCTTCTATCAAGCGCCGAATACATCTAAGATCTTTCCTCGACCGATCAGCCACAAAAATACACTTTCTGAGATATCGACAAAAATATTGATAGTGTGACAACGGCTTCGGATGTGATCACAATATGACGAATGTACTCAATATTCCTCGGGAGGAAACAGCAAAACAGGGGTACCGGGCCGAAAAGACAAATAGTAGCGGCGACGCGGTTTGAAATTTTAACGAGCCAACGCCGAGCGCGACAAGCGGGAGGAAAATTTGATGGATCGTCCGGAGTTGGACGATCGGGGAGACTCAGGGGGTCGAACGAAGGGGTGAAACGGTCAGAGGACGTTTGACCGTCTCGCAGCGCGGGAGGACACCCCCATTCAACGGGAGATTTATTCAAATTTATACGCCTTATTAACACCTCCACCCCCGTAAGCTCCATCTCCATTGATAAATATTAATACGGATCCTATTGGAGTCGCCACCGCACGGGGACCACGGCGCAGACATGCTGAATGGTGATCGAGGAGTGTGCTCGGTTCTTTTGTGTTCGTCCGTCGATCGATTCACTGCTGCACTCGTGGTAGGTGAGGAATATTTGATGAACCCTGCCAGTATGCAGCCGTGTTAAGGAAGGAAGAACGACGTATGAACATTCGAGAGTTGCCCAATTTCCCTTGATAATGTATGTATTTTTGACGACATTCATGCACAATTTTCTTTGAAATTTTCGGATATTTTAGATTAAATTGCGTACAAAATTGTCTTAAAATTTTGGGAAAAATATTCACAATTTCCCCAGTAAATTTGGTATTTATCGAAGAAAACTTGGCAACGTCTGAAGGCTCATACGGCGTTCTTCTTTCGCACGGCAGTATGGTATATTTACAACCGGGCGCCAGACAGTGAAACGAGCCATTCGGAGACGTTGGACATAGAATTTTTGACCTACCTTGTAAATTTTATGTTTACTTTGTCACATCATAAAATTTAGAAAGGCCTTTTCTTTACGGGACGTTTCAGAAGATTTGTCCCATGTTTGTGACGTAGGAATGAAACTCTCGGGATTTTTCCCTGTTAAACAGTACAGAAAATGGTTTTCTTCTGCTCTCTAAGTCGCCTGTAGGACTCCACGAGGACTCTACTTAGTAGTGTGATCAGTATTGATCAACTCAATATTTTCCCCAACTTTGCAAGTGAGGTTTTTCCCTGGGACATATCATGAAACGTCCAGTGGAGACGGGCTCTTAGGAAATTTGACGAGGAAAAAATTGAACCGCCCCTGAACCGGCAAAATTACGGGCTCCTATCATTTTGCTCCTTCAAGTCTGCGATGATGCAATTTAAGTTACAAGGAATTTAAAATAGTTGTATCATTCATGGTGAGCTGTGCGCTCTCTGAATCAGTTTTGACCAGTATGTTTTATTCCTCTCGCATTAAGGAGAATGATAATTTAGGCCACGGTGAATTTCATTGTCTGAGAGAATTCATTGTAAAGAAACAAATTAGTTTAACAGTTTCTGAGCCGTCTTTAGCAGTTAATGTAACAAACCCTCAAAGCCTTGGTATTTTAGATGTGTAAGAGTGCAAGATACTTTTTTATCCTATTTTCCCCGTTTTTGCTTTTTCAGTCAAATGTATACGTACCCATTTACAAGAAAATACCTTTTTCTCTAGGTGGTTGTTAATTTATATTCTTGAAGCAATAGTATTGTAAAACGAATGAAATTCCCCTCTGAAAAGCGATAATGTGTAATACTATGTTCATAATCAATGATGAAGTGCCCTTAATTCACAATATCTTGCAGCAGAATCTGAAAGTTGTCATAACTGCGTTTGGGTACTATGAATTAATTCTTCAAAAATCCTGTTTTTCTTGAAAATAAAAGCCAGCCGTAGGGGTACAACCCTTCCCGTTTGTTGCAATAGAATGCGTTTTGCACCATATGTGTCACTGCGTAGATGAATGAACTAGCTGTTTCGGCTTTATATCCGTTGACGGAAACTCTGACAGATGTGTAAACATGTCCACTCGGGATACCTATTTATACCCTTTCTTTTCGTTTAATCGACCGTGGCGACGCGATGATTATGGAAAGAATACTTGTCAAATATTTTGAACGTTGAAGGGGAATGATCGTGGACCATTTAAATGCTAACACAAGTGAGCTGTCCCGTTTCTCTCGGGTGACGGCTTCGATCAGGCTGACCGTTCCGTTAAAATGGACTTCAAGAATTCACCATGAACAGGCTAACTTACGAAGTAGATTTAGTTTCAATTACAAACGTTTAAAATGAGTTTGCATCGTCATAGATATTCTCTTTGTTTCAGATTTTGTTCTATCATTGATGACTTCTTGAAAGAAAATGACTCAGGTAATACTTATGTTTTATTGTAAATTAACTGCGAACTGATCATTGAAACTGATAGACAAAGCAATGGACAAAGAAGACATAGGGGTATAGAGCGTTCCTGTTGGTTGAAATGAGTGGTTCCTATAGACAAAGGGATAAAATGATGGACTAACTATAGGGTCTCCCGAGGTTGCCGTCCTCCATTACCTACGTCCTATGTCCATTGCAAACACCCGCTTCCACCAATAGGATCCCTCCATATCCTTTTTGTCTTCTTTGTCTATTGCTTTGTCTATGAATTTCAATAATCAGCCCGCTAGCCTACGTTCTGTAATATCTCGGCTCCAGAGGAATTGAAATTGTTGACAAATAAGCGGTTCTGGAGCGAGCAGATGTCTTCTTTCCCAACAATATCTTGTTCCTTTTTGCGCAATGGCTGTTTCTAAAATGAACCAGAAACCAAAGCTCTTTATCGCAAAATCGTCACTTTCCGGTCAAAGCATCACAAGCGCCACGCAACGTTTAAAAATATTCGCCGCCATTTTATTTTTTTACAGTGAAGTTGTTGGCTGAATCTGTTGGAAAATTTCACTGAATTTTATCAGCAACAGAAAGAAAATCCAGTGAAATTTTTGGACAGCTTCGTTGAACAATTTCTCTGTAAAAAAATAAAATAGCGGCGAAAATTTGTAAACGTCGCATGGCGCTTAAGATACTTTGGCCGGAAGGTCACGAAATGTAATTCAATTGATTTTCTGTCTAAAAGAATGACTTCTTCTGGTTCTCTAGATCGTATCTTTTAACTTACCGAATAGTTACTTAATGCATTTTTAAAATGATATTTAAAGTGGACTTAGCTTTTACAGTCTTCAAAAAAGCATACAGGTATCTTGAAAACGGTAGCCCTTTAAGAAAACCTCATTAGACTTTTTAATTAGAATATTTTGTAAATTGTAAATTTTTTAATGGATTGGTTCTTGTTTATTTGTTTCAGATAAATTAGTAGGAGTGCATTGCACTCATGGACTGAATAGAACAGGATACTTAGTTTGCAGGTTTGTAGGTTTCTTTTTATTTCAGTTTTATTTATTCTCCTTTTTATCTCGCACCCTCTTCATTGCAGTTCAAGCGGTCGAAATTTGAAAATCCTTTTCGCAGCGCTTTTTTATCAAACGTAAAACGGAACGATGTTAATTTCATTCAGAGTAGTTGGATTTGTTGTTTTCTCATGTATGTTTCATTCTGAGTTCTCATTTGATTATGATTTCCATAAATGAGGTGAGAAATGTGAAGCAGCCCTTTAAGGTTCCATAAATTGATTGATCAGGTTTTTCTCTTTCTCTTCTTCCCATTCCCTCTTCGTCTCTTTTTCCTTCTTTCTTTCCGTTTTTCTAATCGGTTAATTGAATTTTTAAGGAAATTTCAGCACGGACTTAGTTGGTGATTGGCCAGACATTTTGAATGTCTTGTGCGACAAAATTGAAAATGTCATATGCTTATCATGCGGATGTAATCTATTTCCAGCTTCTCAATCATAACCCCTCCCTCTTTCCTCAATCGTTTAGTAACTTAATTCACCAGCATGATAATTTTACTTCATAAAAGAAATGAGGTAAAAATACAAAATATAAAAATAAACCATTACTCATATTTTATATTATTTTCTGTTGCAGATATTTAATGACGCGATTAAATATGACACCTAACGATGCCATTAAAGGTAAGAATTTTTTGGGTGCTCACATCCTCACTTTTTCTTATTTCTTACCGCACTTCATCCTCATAATGGATGGAGTGCGTTTTTTCAGCCGTTCTAAAAATGTACGGCAACAAGGTTTTTTTTTTTTTTTTTTTTTTTGTATTGTACATTTTTGTTTATCGATATTTTTCTTTGGTATTTAAAGAAATTGTCAATGCCCCTCTCATTTTTTATTTTAATATAGCTACTACATTTGCTCAGATAAGTTACTAAACCGCGAACTAGTTCCAAGAGCTGTCTGTAGTTGAAGCAGTTCGACAGTTTTGTTGGAAGTCCACATCAAATTTCAATGTACGATAATCACTCGTTTAAGAAATTTTATGAATTAACTAGTTAAAGCATGAGTCATATTACTTGAATGATAAGAGCAGCGAGTAGTCATCACCGTTACCTCTGATTTCCAAAAGTTGTGATGACCTTCGTCATCATCGATGAGCCTGAGGATTCATGACAAATTGTCGCCCCTCTGACGTAAGAGCGTATTTTGCTTTGCACATGAGTCCTGTTTCACATATAAATCCATGCTTTCTGGGGCTCATGCAGGAATCAAGAAACGCCCTTGCGTCAGAGGAGCGACGTGATATGACAACTTTGATTATACTATCATGTACGTCATGACTCCTTATCTCCCCTCTCGCAATTTAATATCACCCACGCGTAATTTTGCGATTGAATTTGGCTTAATTATTTAATAAATCCTCCGCTCCCTCATTTTCTTCCGGTCCAATTGTATTCGGCAATATTAAAACTAACCAAAGCTAATAATATCGATATCAAGTGTCGACTTATTTTTTTTCTGGCTATACTTTTTTAGCTTATTTCTGGCTATACTTTTTTAGCTTATAGTGTGAAATTTATTTGGTGCACTGGAAAAAAACACATAGGATCTTGAGTCCAGACTCTTGAAAACATTGACAAGAAAAAATACTCTTGATTCAATCGGATTTTAGTTTAAATCAAAAGGAATTCCGCTCAAATTGAGAGGCTTGGTTCTTGATTTAAACTTAAATCTGATTGAATCAAGAGTACTTTTTCTTGTCGATGTTTTTAAGAGTCTGGACTCTAGGTCCAATGTGTTTTTTTTTCCAGTGTGTGAAATTCGGAGTGCATTTCACTTCAGAGTCTATTTTGCTCCCAAAAAACCTCGAGTGATATAAATAGTCGAATCCACACCATAATACGGCCTTTCCTGCACAAAGGAAGGTAATTTCATCTCAAGGTTGCAAAATTGACTGAAATAATTCAATGATTTGTAAGAATAGATCTGCATAATTTTCGTCAAATATTGTATCTGATTTTCGCATGAGATCAGAAGAAACATTGGTGAAATTGTCCGTTAGATATTCTCAAAATTCTCCTCGTAAATATGAAATTTGCGCGGATAAAGCTGGCAACATTGAAATGCAGTTACGTTCAGTGGCGTTGTATGAATTGCAATATATCGATTGATATGCCATGTAAACCTATGGTAAAGAACCGATCATTAAGGTGTTCGCTGCGAGCACCCTTTTATCGATCCTTTTCCATAGGTTTAAATGACATAACAATCGATATATCGCAATTCACGCCACGCCACTGGTTACGTTTTCTCGTGAGAGAAACGACGAAGAGTGGAAGTAACTCGGCAGAAAGAGTTGATCCTGCTCCGTAAGAGCGAAGTCCACCCCGCACATGGAGCACACTCCGCTCCACGCTCAAATCACTCCGTTTGCTTAGGAGTGATATAGACTCCGGATCGTAATCCATTCCGAATTTAATTCCAGGATTTTTAAGAGTTAATCGAGGTGTACCTGTAAAAAAATATTTCTGAGATTGACCGACTCGTAAATGGACACGTTAACGTCGCCAAGTAAAAAAGATCTAAAAAATGATCGATGAAGAAAGAGAATGGTTCAAGCGTTGGCCATATTAGAGTACCTTTATAGGGAGAGTATGGACAACTCGATTTATGTAACACTTAGGGCCCATAAGGGCGACAACGTGAAAAACGAAAATCACTAGAAAAGTGCCGCTGCCTACGTATGCATTTGAAAGATTAATACATAGGGCTGACAGTGCATTGTAAACAAGCGTTTTTGAGGATTAAGACTTTGAAACTGAGAAAATTTATGCAAAATCAAAGCTTTATACGTGCTTTTATAATTTTTGATAAGTTCACCTACTCTCTGAGTTTGAATTAGTACCACTGGATAATTCGAGTTCATAGGTTGGCTGCCTTTTTGGGCCCCAAGAGCCACATGACCTCATGAAACCTAACCTTCAAATTTTCGAGTTGTCCATACTCTCCCTATCGGAGACAAGAGATCCTCCACTCGTGTTTCGGCTACCGTGGAAGCTCTTATTTTCCGGACTTCAACAATTAACTGTTGACTTACCTACATGGTTGATGTTTAACAACGTGTTGGCAGTTTCGTTTTGCAAACAAGCCAAAACAAGTCGAAGTTAGGGACATTTGTTTGGTTCATGACGTCACCCGAAACTCATCATCTACCATGTAATAAGCTCAACAGCCGAAAAAAGAGTGATGACTGTTGCTCTCTTATAAGTGTCCATAAGGAAGTGTTAAATCCCCGAAAGTAAACGATTCCACCTGTTGCCAAGAGGTCAGTGGAGGAACTCTTGTCTCTGCCCAAGAGCTACATGACCTGATCAAACCTAACCTCCAAATTTTCGAGTTGTCCATACTCTCCCTATACAGGTACTCTAGGAGGCCATATCTTGTAGAGAATGAGTTTTTTTTTAGTCTTTGTGCAAGCGTACTGTAAACTCCTAGAAGAGCTATCCTATTGATTGCCTGGGTTGCTTCGCCTTTTCAGCCTTTGAAGATGCACGAGGCCATAAAATGGTAAGGCTGAAGCTCAAGAATCACTTGCTGAAATTCAAAGATCCCAATTTTGTCGAGGTGGAAGAGACCAAAAAACGTTTTAAGGGTCCAGATTTTCGGGGTCAACGTAACAATCCCAATTCTGGCGAGAAGGAAGTGGAGCCCACAAAAAGTTCTCAGGGTCCAGATTTTCGGGGTCAACGTAACAATCCAAATTTGGGCGAGAAGAAAGCGGGGACCACAAAAAGTTTTCTGGATCCAGATTTTCAAGGTTCCAGTCGCAGATCTACACGCGATCCAAATAATTGGCGAGAACCTAATCCTCATTACCCCGAATACGACGCTTCATCAAGTATGGGTCAGAGCGGCATACAGACTGTAAAGAATTTGATGCCGACCCAAGAATAGAGATAGAGTTCATTTTAGTATGGACAAATAGACCGCGTTAAACAGAAAGGAACCAAGCCACATCAGCTATTGCCAAATTGAACCGGGCAATACAATTTTTTACGAGAGAACGTCTGTGCGTATTCCTTTGAAATTTTTAAGGAATTTGCTTCAACCTATGGAGAATGGGCCTGTTGCATGCAAGAGATACAGCCGTGCGAATAGACTTTTTAGAGGTTAAATGACACGAAAATTACGATGGTCACATTAAAAAAGTCTGAAATACACTCCTTACTGCGCAATTTGTGTTGTTAGGAACGCGCTTTTTCAAATTTCCCGCGTCTGGGGGCAGTTTTCTAACGGAAACAATTAACGGCAACTCGCGGCTATTTCCGGTCAACTAAAACTGACAACATAACCTAAAAATCGGAGCTCGTGACATCGTGAAATGAAATGAAGAAGGATTGCGTTGGATATTTAAAAGTTGATCGATTTGGTTACCGCATAAAGCGTATATGGACCACTATAGGAGATCACGTTGGGTTTGTAAACAAACTGAAGGAAAAAATAACAACAACAACAACGACTCGGCATCTTCCGGAAATCACCGAGCCCGCCGTTTGCTCGTTTCCGGTGATTAGAAAACTGCCCCCAGACGCGGGAAATTTGAAAAAGCGCGTTCCTAACAACGCAAATCGCGCAGTAAGGAGTGGTATTTCAGACTTTTTTAATGTGACCATCGTAATTTTCGTGTCATTTAACCTCTATTAAGTCTATTCGCGCGGCTGTATCTCTTGCATGCAACAGGCCCATTCTCCCTGCAATTTGCACGAAAATCCGCAGAACCGTTTTCATGTAAAAAATTAAATTGCCCGATTAAATTTGGCAATAGCTGATTTTGCTTGGTTCCTCTCTGTTTAACACGGTCCAAATATCACATACGATGAGTATGGACCCAGCGCTGGGTCCATACCGCATGCACACTGAACAGTAAGTTCATACACCTGCTTTTTCCTACACGACATGTTTGCCATGCCAAATCGTATGTACGAGCACTTAGTTCATATCTTAGTTTTTCCAAGCAGTATGGGTTCTCACCATGTAACCATTTTTTTATTCCAGTGTATCATGATTAATCTATTTCCCCGGTGAAATCCTTTAAAAGAGTGTGCCCTCTCATCACAGTTTTCTGACTTTAATATTTTCATATGTTTATAATTTTTTAACTTAGTCGTGTTAATGACGTTCAACTATTGTAGTAATTAAATGTTAAATAATTTTATACACACCGACTTTTTGACAAAATTTGTCGTAGTTTTAGAAACTTTTAACGGATAATAACTGAATGAAGGAATCTTGTTTTCAAATTCATCTTCTTCTCTTGTACTCGCTCGAAAAATTNGGGGGGGGGGGTTCGCGATCAAATCAAAGCGCACGAGGTCCACACGTCGAGTCAATCTCCATTTTCGGTTCCCGGTTAAGCTCTTCACTATATGTATATTGGCGTCCTTTTTTTGGAAGGACGCGTCTATCTCCGTTGCCAAATAGTGACATTTTCACCGTTTTTTCAGCGTTCGAAGAGGCCCGAGGTCACCAGATCGAGAGGCCGGAGTTCATCGAGTACCTGAAAAAATTCGAGGACCCAGAATTCGTGGACAACGACATCCGCAGCAACAAATTCGTGCCGAATCGGGGGTGGTCGGGCAGGCCCGCTCCCCCGCACGACGACAACCGCGGTCCCCCTATCGATAGACACCACTTCAGGGACGATAGATATAATCCCAGGGACGATAGATATAACCCCAGAGACGATAGATATAATCCCAGAGACAGAGGTTTCTACCCCAGAGACGATAGGTACAACCCCTACCATAGGGAGTCGAGGCATACACCTTGTTCCGGGTTCGGAAGCCCCCTGGACCGGGAAGAAAGTTATCCCAACCGTAGGTATAACGATTTCCCGGGTCGATGGGGGCGCGAACCGCGTCATCCGGGTGCGTTTGATGACGTCAGCGAGCCCCAAGAAGGTAGACCTGCCCATTGGGATAGGAGCTCCAGACCACAGTTTAATTCCCGCCGTGGTAGGAGAGATAACGAACCGTCCACGCGCCTCCGGAGATGATACTACTGTCGAGTGGTCGCACTCGCCTTAGAGCAAATTGATGTACAGTGACTTTTAAGTCAGTCCACGGAAAATGTCGTTGTACTGAAATCTTGGGGCTAAACGGAGGTCGGTGAGAAATCTAAATCGCCTCGCAAAATTGTATCGATCGGGTTTTTCATGAGGAGAGTTTTTGGTCTGAGCTAAAGTCGTGTCCCTTCATATTCTGAATTCCTCATTTTTTAATGTCCTCGGAACGTGCCTCTGGAAAGTTCCCTAATTGCTAGAAAATTCATGCATCTCATTCTTTCTTATCAAGATGTAGTTTGAAAGTTGTCCGGGTTGCTGTATAGTCTTTCATCAGCGTATCTGTAAATCAAGGCATAGGTTAATTTTCACGAAAAGCCGATGAAATCTCATAACTTAAAGTAGATTATCTCTGCCCTTTTTCGCTGACGCTGCATTAGTTAAAAATATGATCGGATTTATGAAAAAGGACTTTATCTTCCGTGAGGAAATTTTCCCTCAACTCAAAAATTGAAGTAAATATGAGTTCTGAATTTCCACAACAACAATTCTTAGGTTGTAGAATATGCGGTTTTTAACTTTGAAAATAAGCTAAGGGACATTTGCTCCAGGAAGATAAGGTCCCTTTTCACAGAACTGGTCACGAAAGAGCAATTTTTGTATAACTATACTTTATTAAATGTTGATTAGCACACGATTTAATTCTGAAGGTACTCCAAAATGTATACTTTTTTCCGATAATGCTACCATAAAGAAGCGTAAAAATTTAAGTTAAATTTTCCCAAAGCATAGCAAGTATGCTGTAAAAAATGAAGAGTGAGTTTAAGTGAAGAATACACACTGATCGGATGCTTTTTTTAATTTTTGATAGTTAGATTAGGAGTATTAATCTCTCTCCGATACGTGTTTTGTTATAATCTCACAATGATTTTCACCTTACTGACTTATATGTATAAAACTAATGAACTTTTGATTTTCCTGCGTGTTAGAAAATTGCTTCTCATAGTTTTCTTTAGAAAACTTACGATCTTCAATTGCACCATGAAAGGCTGATCGCCCAATTAAGACGATTTTTCGTCCCTCTTGCGCGCCGGAGTTATTGTGTTTATTTATGCCAAGGCTTTCTCTTCGGGTTCTCTCCTCCCCCCCCCCAAATAAGTCCGAAATTCTTTTAGCCATTTTTTAGAAATTATAACAGCCCCACGACTTTTCCTTTTTCATTTTAGGTTATATTTAACTATCTTGCTAAAATTCTTGCGTATCTAAAAATTTATACATGCGTGTACAAAATGTCTTTCTCGTCACTTGTACCTTGCATTTAAATTTATGTAATTCATTTTAAGTTATAAGTAAGTAATCTTTTTCGTTTAAAATCAGACACAAAATTTAAAATTTATCTTGATCTCTCGTGACCTCTCTTTATATTTATAATGTTTGAGGCTGATTATCAGCAAGGTCATATTGATATTTTCAGTAATTTTTTGAAAATAGCGTAAATCGTCAGTATCATTATTTGTTTTTTTTCTGTCTTCGCCGAGAATCGCCATCGGCAAGTCATGCAAAGTTTGTTTATTTTGATTGCAAGAAAGCGATCTAACTTCATTATCTTTTACCATCGCGTTGCATGGAGTGACGTGGACTGTTTCAGAGTAAATGTTTCATCTTGTATATCTTTTTCCATTTCTTTTTGCTGAGAAAGTAATTTTTGGTCAATAACTTTCTTCATATTTCTCTTTTTAACAAAGCAAAATCCAATCATGAGGGAAAAAAAGAAATATTTTTGTTAACTATTTAAGATTCTTTCTTGATGTTAATAAATTGAAATTCCGAAGTAAAAATTTCGTCACATTGATTTCACCTTGAGCCCACCTTTTTACCTCTATTGAAATTTACTAGTTTGGTTTCAAAACCCTTGCATTGCAGAATAATTGGCGAGAATTTTGAGCAAAAACTCTAAATTTTTCTTTTTATATGATCAGGTTCAAGATTTTCCGAACAGAAGCAAGCGTTCACAAGCTTACGATTAGCTAAATTCAGAACCACCTTTTTCTCTAAAGTTTTTATCCAAAGTTTACGGTAAGTTCCGTTGCTTCTCAATCACCTGAACAATGATTAAGGTTTTGAAAAATGATAATCGGAGATTATACGATGACTGCAGGGCTTGGTACTAAAAGTTTCGTTCAATAACCCTTTGGTCCCTTTGGTCTGTAAATCGTCACCTTCCAGCCAAAGTATCAAAGGCGCCATGCGACGTTTCAAAATTTCCGCCTCCATTTGATTTTTTGTAGACGAATCGTCGGTTGAATCTGTTTGAAAATTCTGGTTGAATGTCACTGAATTTTATTGGCAGCACAAAGAAAATTCAATGAAATTTTTGGACAGCTGCGTTGAACAATTTCTCTGTAAAAAAAAGTAAAATGGCGTAAGTAAATGCAATTTTTCAATGTCGCATGGCACTTGTGATTCTTTGGTCGGTGACGAAATCACCTCAAAACTTCATTTTTGGAATTATCGATCTTTTCGATGGCGGCAAAGTAGACAGTTTAACGGATACATCTATAGCCAGCGAAAAGCTGAGAAAACTGCTCGGAACTTCCTCACTTACCGCTGGAACTTAGCTAGTTACTTGGCCACTTCTTTTTTTGTTCGAGACATTTTTTTCTCAATTTTTCATCTTTCCTCTTCCGTTCTCTGGTGGTTGTTTACTTGGAATGCCAACTTTATGCCATGGGCTTAGGGACCGTCTCGTTTGATTATGCTAAAAGCTCACTGTAGCTCGGTCCGCAGAAGTGCACATACACACATCTGTTACAATCTGTCTTCTCTTTATCCTCTTTCCTCGCTGCGCACAATCACCTCTAATCGAGATTGTTTCACTTCCATTCCGATAGGGTAAAACCAATACTGCCTTGCTCAGGAAGAGAGCCGTATGTGCATTTTAATGTTGCGAAATTCCCCTCGCTAAAATACCTGTTTTTGAGAAAAGTTACGAATATTTTTCCTTCAAATTTTCAGGCACTTCAGATTAAATTGCGAGTACAGTTCTCAGAAAATTTCAATAAAAATATTCGCCAACTTTCCGGAAAACAATCGTCTTATCGCGGAAAAGATTTGGTGACGTCTAAACGTTGATACGACGTTTTTACTTAACGCGTCTTCGTCGCGTATGATGGAGTTGCGATCGAGGAGTACGATTAGCGGCTGAATTGAGCAGTTATGGCGGTGTTGAGCGCTTCTGCCATGCTCAGCAAGAAACGCATAAGTGCATAGGGGTTCCACTGGAGATACGCCCTTTTTGCAAAGACTGGCAAGATTGCGTTCAAACGCGGCAGGCCGGTAACAATAGCGGTTTGTCACCGTGATTAATTGAACCGTTCGTTTTTAAAAACGCCAAAGTGCCGAGAGCTCGTGAGCTTTGGAAGTTGTGATAGAGAGGGGAAACCAGGGCTTAAAAGTGTTCGGCACTTGGGCTTTTTTGAAAATAAACGATTGTATTGCTCCTTAGCAACACAATGGCTTCTTCTAATCTCCGTTCTAATCAATGGGAGTAATCATCTTCGCTCGGATTGGTGACTGATGGATGGATGCGATCCAGTGGCGAAGAGCGAATGATCAATTATCGATATTTTCCCATTTGAAGATATGGTAAAGAATCGATTATTTTGGTGTTCATTGCGAACACCCTGTTTATAGCTCCTTTTCATAGGTTTGAACGGCAGATCAATCGATGTATCGTTAAGCGCGCCGCGCCACTGATGCGACCCTTCAATCAGCCCCTGATTCTCGTCGTTAACTCGACGCTGACGCCTTTCGAGTGAGCCGATGAGTTTCAGTCATTCCCTAGGTTCTGAAGAATCGGTAGCAAAACTCAAAAACACATATCTCAATTTTAATGTTTCAAAATGGGCTGCAAGAATCAAAGCACTACGCAAAATGTCTCGTCTTCATAATTTCACGGGGAAAAAAAAAACTATCACACAACGGAACTCCTCTGTAAAACCGAAAAGCAACCCCTAAACAAGATAGCCTCCTAATATATCTCTCCTTTACACATTGAATCAATGAGCGACATCCATTGTGGAAGTTACCTCCATGCATTTTCAATGAATTTTCTCAAAAATGCCATACTGTTCACTATTAATGCTAATACACGTGATCAAGCGTAAATTGTACATTGCAATAATTATTGCTTCTTAAAGACACAGACTGTGTATGCAGCGCATTTTAGTGGCGGATCTCGTCGTTGCATGGACCACTTATAAAATCACCTCAAAATTGGACTTAATTTTGCAATTCGGAACTATAATTTCCGGCTCTATTTTAAAACAACGTATGCACCATTGATTCCTCTATGTTTATACCTGTTTTTAAGGATGAGCCAGAAACTATAGTTCCTAATTTATTGCTAAACGAAGTCCAATTGGATTGCATTTTGCAACGCGGAACTAAAATTTCTAGCTCAACCGTAAAAACACTTATGTGCATAAGTTAACTATAATGGTGCACATGTTGTTCCTAAACTGGACCGGAATTTGTAGTTACTTATTGCAAATTCAGTTCAATCGGACTACATTTTGCGAATAGGAACTACACTTTCTAACCCCGATCAGAAACAACGTATGCACCATTAATTTTCCCATGAGTACATGAGTGTTTTTACGGAAGAGCCACAAATTGTGGTTCCTAATTGCTGGCATTTAGTCCAATTGAGCCTGTGATTGTGCAAATCTTCACGACTCTTCTTCCACTTTGATGTTGCGTGATTCTTTGCCGCAGTGCTTGGTTTCATTAAGTCGGACCACGTGTTGCAATTAGGAACCAAAATTTTTGGCTCATCCGTAAAAACAATTTTATACATAGGGAACCTAATGGTTCTTACGTTGTTTCTAATCCGAGCCGGAATTTGTAGTTCCTAATTGCAAAATGTAATCCAGTTGTGATACGACGCACTCCCGCGCGTAGAATTTCCCGGAATCCTTCATGACAAGGTCCAAGGCAAGAGGCAAGGTCCTGTTACCTCACCTGACCTCAGCCACCCCCACGCAATAAAGCTCAGCGCGCAAACGGGTCGGCGGCGGGGGATTTTCCCACGCGGTTCCACGAAATTTCGGGTGTCTAATTTGAGAAATGAGTCTTAACAAGGTGCAACAACGAGCCGCCGGGGCAATAAGCCGGCGCTTTGCTGGTGCTGAAACGACAGCCTCTCGGGCACTTATTCTGTCAGCAGCGGTGCAAAAGCCTCCACCGTCGATGGTAAACCTGCGACGCCCCCCTCCCTCCCTCTGATGCCCATACGTCTCTAAGGCGCACAGTAAGGCGAGTCAGTGTGAGAGGTCGGACATGATATGGACGTATTTCTGCCAAACGGAACTATGTGCATTATGACGTGAGCCCTGTTATGCAGATATACTTGTGGGTCTCAGGGCTCATCACTGGAAAAAAATACATTGGATCTAGAGGCCAGACTCTTAAAAAACATCGACAAGAAGAAGTACTCTTGATTCAATCAGAATTTAGCTTAAATGAAGAACCAAGCCTCTTAATTTAAGCGGATTTCGTTTTGATTCAAGCAAAAATCCGAATGAATCAAGAGTATTTTTTTTTGTCAATTTTTTCAAGAGTCTGGACTCTAGATCCAATGTGTTTTTTTCCAGTGTGTCTTAACGCACATATAGTTCCATTTGGAAGAAATATGTCCATATCAGGGTGGCCACAGTCAAGGAATTTGTGGATATGTCAGGGGATTTTATCAAGATCGGAAAACCTGGAAATGTCAAGGAAAATGACGAAAGTATCAATAAAAATCGTAAAATCACCTTCATTTGCTCCCTCGAGTGGGTGTGACGTTTCAAACAACAAATTTTGCTTAAGAAATATTTCTATCTTTGTCTTTTGAAAAATATACTTCCGGGGACTCAACACCTCCGTATGGACAATTGTATGGGAGCAACAGTCATCTTACCTACGAGGTGGATAATGAAGTTCGGGTGACGTAATGAGCCAAACAAGTTTACTAAACTTCGGTATGTTTGCCAAACGAAATACCCAAGAAGTTGTTCAACACTCACTCAGAAGGTAAGTCAAAGTTGCATGTTGTAGTCCCGAAAGTAAAAACCTCCCCTGTTGCCAAGATACCGATAAAGGGCCTTTTAGCTCTACGCTTAGGGCCCAAAAGAGCAGCCAACCTATGCATCCAATTTATCCAGAATGATTTATCATTACAATTGTTACGACCTGTTGTTTAAGAAGCTCATATTTGACTTAGTATTTGCATACATTTACCCTTTTTGGCCATAAAATGTTCATGCATGAGCGTTCTTGGCCATCTTGCTTGATTTTGGAATTTGAAGATTGTTAGTAAATTTTTCTGTGTTAAAAGGTTGGCTACCTTTTTGGGCCATAGAGCTCCATATTCTGGCGTGACCATATTCCTAGCCTTATTTGAATCAGAACGCAGAAATTTAAAAGAGGATTCATTAGCTTTTTTGGAAAATTTTCTTCAAGGAGCACCTCTTTAAATTAATTAAGAATTTTTTATCAAAATTTGAGGTTTCAGGGAAAAATTTCATATCCGAACTCGCCTAAAGGCTCGCTCCACCGAGCGGCGCGGGCAAACCGCATAACGCGACGTGCGGCGTAAGGAAAATAATTTAAAGTGGACGAAACATCGCAAAAACAGCGTAACTGAAATACGAGTGCCTTTGGAGTTGGGTTTTTGTTGCCTTCGAGGGTAGGTGCTCATAAACTGACGGGGCAACTGCTGCGGCTGAGATCTGAGTAATGATAGCGTAGATCCAGCGTGCACCCTACCAGAGACTTTCAATTATCTGGAATCACG